AGCACGAGTACTAATGCCATTTAATTTGTACGTGCCGACCTTAGCGTTATTATAGATGGACACTATGGACACTAGTAACAGCACTGGTTGACACTGGTGCTGACTTTTCTATTATGAGACAAGAGCTCGCCGACCGCCTTAAGAAGGTCAAGACGCCGTGGAGTGGGCCAAGCATAAGAAATGCTGGTGGACAGCTAATGACGCCAACCGGTAAATGCACCCCTCGGCTCGTAATCGGTGATTGAAGCTTCGTCGCCACTTTTGTCATTTTACCATACTGTTGTAAAGAGTTGATTTTAGGTATGGATTTTCTGCGAGAGTACGGTGCTGTCATCAACATTCCAGAACGTATCGTCACCTTTTCCGCCCATTTTTGCGTTGACGCCACCACTGAAGAACAACTGAATTGTTTATGTGTAGCCGATGATGTGATGTTCCTGCCGAGATCTTGCTGCCTTGTGTCGGTGTTATGTGAACGGCCATGCCGTAATAAGGTTATAGCGGAGCGAATAGACACGCTATTGCTTACGCAAGGTGTTTCAATAGCGAGAGGCGTTCTGGCACTAATTGATGGGCGGGCAGAAGTGCTCATCACCAACTTCAGCAACGAGCGTCGTCATACCAGAAGGGCACCATGATTGCCTACTACGACGACGTGAACCAAGCCAGAGATTGCTTCGCTTTGCAACCGGACGACGCAACCGTCCCAGCCTCGACACCTTTGTCTGTCGACATTTGCTCTACCCTGTCACCCTCGGATACACAGCGCCTACTAGAGCTGATACACCAGTTCAATAATTGTTTTTCGTGCACGTCGAAAGTCAAGCAAACACCACTGACCAACCACCGAATCATTGTTGAAGAAAATACGAGACCGATCCGTCAAACTCCATACCGTGTGGCTCTGAAAAAACATAAGGAGATCCAGAAGCAAGTTCAGAAGATGCTCCAAGACGATGTAATACAGCCTTCCAAAAGTCCCTGGGCATCCCCCGTGGTATTGGTTAAAAAGAAAGACGGCAGCTTGCGTTTCTGTATAGATTACCGCAAGGTAAACCAAGTCACGAAGAAAGATCTACCCACTGCCACGCATAGATGACTCTCTTGATCGACTACGGCATCGCTCTTTCTCATTGATAGACCTGCGAAGTGGCTATTGGCAAATAGAGTTCGACGAGAGAGACCATGAGAAAACTGCCTTCGTGATGCCAGACGGTCTTTATGAAATTAAAGTCCTTCCATTCGGGTTATGCTCTGCGCCAGCCACTTTTCACCGTTTAATGGACACTGTGCTATCAGGACTGAAGTTGCAGACATGCTTGGTCTATCTAGACGACGTTATCGTCTTCTCAGCTACATTCCAGAAACACCTAAGTCAATTATTCGCAGTTCTGCAAGCTATACGTTCGGCTGGCTTGACTTTAAAACCAGAGAAGTGCCATTTCAGTTTCAGCGAACTTTGTTTCTTAGGCCATGTGGTCAGCCACGAAGTTGTTCGACCTGACCCGGGCAAAATCGACGCTGTCGCAAAGTTTCCCGCACCGCATCACAAAAGAGCAGTGAGATGCTTCTTGGGCCTCTGCGCTTATTACCGACGATTCATCGCAAACTTTTCGTCTATTGCGGCGCCTTTGACGCGGCTCACACGAGAGGATGTCCCCTTTATTTGGGGCGAAAAGGAACACACAGCATTCAACGGATTACGCCATCGCCTCCAAACACCTCCGGTTATTGTGAACTTTGACTAGGAAGCGCCAACAGCACTTCACACGGACGCAAGCAATGTAGGCCCGGGCGCCCTACTGATACAATGGCAAGATAACTCCGAGAAAGTGATAGCCTATGCCAGCAGAGCTCTCTCTCGCACGGACGAGAACTACTCGACTACCGAGAAAGAGTGCCTCGCCGTGGTCTGGGCGGTTCTCAAATTTCGACCGTATCTGTACGGCCGCTCATTCAAGGTCATTTGTGATCACCACTCGCTTTGCTGGCTCACTAACTTGAAAGACCCATCCGGCCGTTTAGCACGCTGGAGCCTTCGGCTTCAGGAGTTTGATATGACCATTGTTTATAAATCAGGGAAGAAGCACACCGACGCAGACTGTCTTTTGTGGTCTCCCGTCGAGCCTGCCGCTATTAATGACGAGTCTATGGACGCCGCATTCTTGGGAGTGATCAACGCGGCCTCTATTTCACAAGAGCAGCGCAGTGACCTTGACCTGCTTCCACTTATCGACTTCGTAGAAGGACGACGTGAAGATGTGCCGCGAGTTTTTGCGAGAGGAGTGCCATATTTTTGTTTAAGGAACAACGTCCTATACAAGAAAAACTTTTCTCCCACCGGCAGCCCATACTTGCTTGTCGTCCCTGCATCACTGCGAAAACAAATTCTGGAAGCCTGCCATGACGAAGTCACCTCCGGTCATCTCGGTTACACTCGAACATTGTCCCGTCTGCAAAACACTTACTACTGGCAGAACCTACCTGCTGCTGTAAAACATCACGTCCAAACATTTGCCGACTGTCAAAGACGCAAAGCACCACCCAGCCGGCCGGCAGGCTTTTAATTACATTCCGTGCAAGTATCAGCAAAGCCATTCGCCCAAATCGGAACGGAATACCTGGGCCCGTTTCCAATTTCTACCACAGGGAACAGATGGATCATTGTCGCCACCGATTACTTGTCTCGCTACGTAGAAACTAAAGCTATGCCGAGGGCCACAACAGCAGAAACGGCTCATTTTTTCATAGAAAACATCGTCCTTTGGCACGGTGCTCCAACAGTTCTCATCACGGATAGAGGAACTGCGTTCATGATAGAACTTTTGGAGTCGGTTCTCAGGCTCAGCGGTACATCTCACCGGAGACCAACGGCGTGCCACCCAGAAACGAACGGACTAAAAGAGCTGCTTAATAAGACCCTCGCAGACATGCTCTGCATGTATGTTGACACAGAACACAAGAACTGGGATGAAATCTTGCCTTATGTGACCTTCGCCTATAATACCGCCCGGCAGGAAACTACCGCAACAACGCCGTCTAGTTTATTACACGGGCGTGAAGACACTACAACGTTGGACGCTATGCTGCCGCACGAGTGTTACGACACTCATGCTGACGCTGAAGAATTTGGTCAGCGCGCCGAAGAAGCCCGACAGCTAGCCCGCGTGCGTATTTGTCACCAGCAACACAAAGATGCGAAATGGTACGACCTATGACATAAATTGGTAACCTAAAACCAGGCGACAAGCTATCGGTCTGGATCTCAATACGTCGACCCGGACTTTTAGAGAAGCTATTACGACGATACTTCGGTTCATATCGAGTCACCCGACGATTGAACGGTATCAACTACGAAGTTATTCCCGACGGCGATTGCAGTTCGAGTGGCCGAAACCACTCATCCGAGATCGTGCATGTCATCCGGATGAAACCCTACTTGTCCAGCTAACTCTCGTTTGTCCTGCGGGTGCCGGGGCATATGTGTGTTTTATAAGTAGAGCGCCTTGGCTGCGCATCGGGACGAGGTCATTTTTGGAGGGAGGGAAATGTCACGTGCGTCCCGCGAAAAAGACGAAGATGACAGCGCCTACGCGCATCTGCACGCTTTTATGCAGAACGCAACAACGAGAAAGACGAGGAACTCTCTGGCGCGCGGTTAATAAAAAGACCGACCCTCTGCTGCTTTCTCAGCGTCTTCAAATGCGACCTCTGTCTTCACGTCGCGACAATATGATTATGAGAGACGCCGTAGTGGAGGGCTCTGGAAATTTCGATCACCTGGGGTTCTTTAACGTGCACTCAAATCTGAACACACAGGTGTACAACATTTCTGCCTCCATCGGAAATGCAGCCGCTGCAGCCGGAATTCGAACCCGCGACCTGCGGGTCAGCAGCCGAGTGCCTTAACCACTAGACCACCGCTGCAGGGACTGACGGACGGACGGACGGACGGACGGACGGACGGTCGGACGGACGGACCGACCGACCGACCGACCAACGGGCGGGCGAGCGGGCGGGCGGGCGGGCGAATGGACGAACGGACTTATTATGGGCCGCTATCATGTCAAAACAGAACATGCAAAACAAGTCAGGCGCTAAACAATGTCTCAAGAAATTGCGCAAACACTGATCACCTCCACACTTAATTTCTTTTTTGTTCTTTAGACTCTGCGGTTGTCATTTTTTCGACATTCGTTGGGATACGCTCATGGTTCACCTACGAAGTTTTACCGCGTAAACTAGTATGACCTAAGAACAGCCGATTTTGGTGGTGTAGATATTCGCCGGCACTAGTGAAATTATGCTCGCCACAATGGATGTGTGGTTACAGTGCCCGACAGCTAACTCGAAGGTCGCTGGTTCGAACACGGGCGCGAGTGTAGCATTGAGAGGGAGGCGAAACGGTGGAGGCTCGTACTGTACAAAGTCAAGCCACAATTACAATATCAGAGGGTTAAAATTTGTGGAGCACTCCACTACGGTGTCATTTATCATCGTATTGTAGTTCTGGAACGTGAAATTGAACATATATTGTTATTATTACTAGAAATATTATAAAGTTTTCACTTTAAAGAATAGAGGAATGTAACTTAAGGATGACGCACCCTAAGCATGATGTCCTCTAGAGTTGGCATTCGTCTACAACTTGAGCTTGGCTTAGTTGGCACATGTTTTGTGCATTCACTATAGTTCTTTTTTGTACCTAGCGCGTGTAGCACGTGACTAGAGTCAGATCTAAACAACAAAATACATTGCCACTCACAGCAGCTTTGTTAGCAGTTTTCGCTTACCTGTGCAGGCCTCGCACATATCTGTTTCCGCAGATTTTTTTTCCTGCGTGCAAAAGCCATACTCGTAGTCACATATTTTCATTTCTATTTTTTGCTGAAACATTATGAGAAAAAGCCTCACCAGGTGGTTCGTGACTCCGCAGCTGTCTTTATTTATAACGAACAGGTATACCCATCTACATGTAGAATGCGCACTGCACCCAGAACCAGCAACATCGCCACCTGTGGGTCTGCCAGGTGAGCTGCACATCTTATAGTCCTGAATTATTATTAATAATTTATGGGTTTAACCTTTTGAAACCAATACGAGATCACGAGAGACACCACTGTGGATGGCTCCAGAAATTTCATCCCCCTTGGGTACATTCACGTGCACTTACATCCAGGCACACGGATCTCAATCACTTCGCATCCATCCGAATGCAGCCACCACGTCTAGGATTCGATCGCACAACCTTGTTAACGGCACTCAAACACCGTAGCCTCAAGACCATCAGAGAAGTTATTGTCACTTTCTAGAATCTCTTTTCTAAATAAACTTGCTCGTGTTCTCGTTGTGGCATACTTGACACGCTTTACATCATTAATAATTAACGTAAAAATGGAGCATCGTGAACACGTGACAGATCCGGAAGCTGTTCAAACCACAATGTCCTAAAAATATTAGCATGGCATATGCGTATGTCCAGACGGTGTTCACAAAAAATACCTCTATTTTTTGCATTTGCTATACACCTGGAAGTCTCCCATTGCTTGAGCGTGTTATGAGACTGAAAATACACTGGCGCGGCCCTTCCAGTTCTTTTTGAATGCAAAATGTTCCCAGTGATAGCAGTCTTTTTCTCTGCAAGTATTGGCAAGAGCCCTCAATCACCCAAAATATTGCGCCACAAGTGTAACCAAGTATATTTTTCTCCCTTTCATCTATGGTATTTTATCTTGGAGCCAAATTCAATCATGCAGAACGAAAACAAACCTAGCTGCCGCATTTAGGTGACTTCGCAACTGTTTGCTTCGTTAACTTTGATCCCCAATGAAAACAATTCTTGCGCGAAATAATGCGTGACGCGACAGCATGAGCCCACTGTATAGATAGCCATTGCAAAATATTATCATCAGTCCAATGACGTTTTTCAATTTTGATAAATAAATGCATTTACTTGCATTGCTCGAACCACCCCCCACCCCATTTCACTCTCACATTTTGCATATGCACGACTTTGCAATGTCTCTTAGGTCGGTGTCAATGGGAGGAAATACATAATTGCTCTTGCGTATATATATGCCATAGGCATATTTACCAAAGAAGGGGAATGATGGAGAAGGAAGGCTAGGCAAACAGTGGAGTGTACAGTATCGCTCTAACGTGCGGTCATTCCTATGACACTTGTCAGACCCACCCATATGCGTTCTTATGTCTGCGCGTATTAAATGCGAAGCATTTCTTAGCGAACTTCGGCGACTTTGAGCCTGCCTGCCTGTCTATCTATCTATCTATCTATCTATCTATCTATCTATCTATCTATCTATCTATCTATCTATCTATCTATCTATCTATCTATCTATCTATCTATCTATCTAGCCGCTTACGTTCGGGTGCTCTCGTAATGACCCCCTTAACTTGGCGTGAACCAAAATTAGAATGAGAAGGTAAGATGGTTTGGCGAATATGACGCGCTGCTCAAGACCTCAATAATGTCACAATCCTGTCACGTACGTCGCCAAACACGTCCCGTCAGACAGTGGCACGTACCCACCAGCGTGTATGTGCCGCTGGTATGCGGGTATGTGCCAAAAGTGATTGACACTTAGTATCTACCCAGGAACTACTAGAACACACATGGGCAATTTTAACGCGCAAGTGTTCAGAAATAACCGAAATCGGTACCGTTGACCCGACGAATGCAAAGAATAAATGTCAAGGTCCCAGCTGGAATTGAACCCATGCATTCTTTGTGGAAATGAAGCGTTCTATCACAAACCTACGCCAGGTCTCGGAACAATTTTTCAAGTAGACGTTAATCTTCGTGAAACGTCAATAGTGGTTGCATTGCTGCCTACCCAATTTTATACACATTACATATGAACTTATTTAATACAGCTGTCACATCAGGTTAACGTCAATTGTGGTTAGTTGCCATGCGCTGAAGTTGATTTATGTGGCAGTGTTCAAGGCCAGCATCCTCGCGAGCATCGGCGCTTCATATCAGCTTCTGGTGTTGCTAATACGTATGCTCTAGTTGGCATCGTTGCGCAAGTGCGAATAACTGGTTATTTAAACGTCTGCAACTCTTCAACATATGTCTGTGCGTGCAACATTTGTACTTATATTAGCGTCATCTTATGACGTGTCGCTCAGTAAAAAAGTTGCAACCCGGTCACCTTCTCTCCGCATGCTTCGCATAACATAGATTCCCAGGTACGTGGGATCTGCCGATTTTTTTTTTTCATGCTGGAACGTGACAGGCACACGCTGCTCTGCTCAAAACGTGTGAGCGGATCCGCCAACATTACTACTGGCAGGGTATGTACACGTATGTACGAAAATACATTCGCTCATGTTCTTTGTATCAGCAGTGGGGGACATTTCTTCATTCAGCTGGTCAACTGCAGCTTTTACTATGTAGTGATGCCAATTTGACCATGTTGGGATTGAACCGATGCCAGACGAACCAATGCCAGACAACATCATGAGCACCAGACGAAGGCTGGTGCTCATGATGTTGTGCTTTTGATGTTGCCACTTTCGTCTGGCATCGGTTCGTTCTCCGTCATGGTGCACTACGGGAGAGACTGAGGGACAGAAGTCGCGTGTTTTTGTCCGTAGTTCCGCAACAGCTCTTTTATTCATGCCGTACGGAACACCACACATAAACAGCCTACCAGCCTCAGACTAATGACCTAACTTAGCGTTTCAGTCCAAACTCAGAGACATGCTCCCTATGTATGTTAATTTCGACTACTCCAATTGGGATGTCGTTATTCCTTTCGCGAAGTATGCATTCAGTACTGCCATTCAATCTAATACCGGCTTTTCTCCGTTATATATATATATATATATATATATATATATATATATATATATATATATATATATATATATATATATATATATATATATATATATATATATATATATATATATATATAGAGAGAGAGAGAGAGAGAGAGAGAGAGAGAGAGATGTAAACAAAATCCTTTGCCGTGTTGCAAACACGGTGACCGTGTTGCAAAATATATAATGTAAACAAAATCCTTAAACGACATTAACACATTCTGGAACAAACTGAACGTCTGAAACGCGCATTCCCATCCGCTCCATGCGTCGTTGACCGACGACCACGTAACCTCAAAGACACCCTTGTCCACTCCCAAATTAACACATCACCCCCCAATAATTCATGCCGCCCTTGTTTAAAGCCACGATGTCTTGTATGTAAGGCGATGCGAGAAACAGACAAAGCAACCAGCACGCAATCCAAGTTTTCGAGTAACATACAAGGAAACCTAACATGCGATTCCTCTAATGTGGTATACCTACTCGAATGCAACGTGTGTGGTATGCAGTACATCGGACAAACAGAAACACCATTTAGGATTCGCTTCAATAATCACAGAGCCCATGCGAAATCAGCCCCAAGTCTTCCGCTATCAAAACATCTCAATCTTCCCGACCATGCATTCTACAAACTATCAGTAACGCTCTTAGAGACGGGATTCAAATCAAATCGAGAACGTGAACAACGGGAGTCATACCTTATCCACCGATTTAACACCCTCGATAGAGGAATAAATGAGAATCCTGGTACACTTGCAGCAATTAAAGCATTAGAAAACAATAACGGCAACAATGAAAATAGTGACTAAATTCACGGCACTGCAGCTGCGAAGAGCACTGGACAACCCAAAACAATTCCAAGTATATATATATATATAATATATATATATATATATATATATATATATATATATATATATATATATATATATATATATATATATATATATATATATATATATATATATATATATATATATATATATATATATATATATATATATATATATATATGGCCACGAACCATGCAGAGAACTCGGCAAAATTCTGCTATAAAATCCCAATGTCTCCGAATTCAGCCCAGTTTTTGAAATGGCAGAATATGCTGAAAAGTGTCGTCAGCTGCTTGCACACTCATTCACCGCGGATAATCACACTCTGAAAAGATCGCCATGGCCGTGATCTGGTCCACAACACTTTCTCCGAAGGCTCTCTTTTGTGGCTCCGACTGCCTTTCCCCTCGCCTGTCCGGACTCCCAAGTTTGCACCGAAGTATACCGGCCTCTACCAAGTCAACAAGCGCCTCTCTTCTGGCACCTATGGGATTGAGGCGCTCAAGTTATCGCAAAGTAGTTAATAGACTCCACCTGTGGTATGTCCTCATAATGATAACAGAAATAGATGTGCACGGGTAATAGCAGGGGGAAGACGCACACCTTTAATCCATTGCACTCCTTACTTCTTGGTTTCAACCAGCAGCCATTGCCTTCCTACGTCGCATACGTTTGGAGAGATATATGTTCTCAAAAAAGTCCCGATAAGCTGTATGCGCACTCAATTAAACGAGTAACGACGCTGTATCCCGCTCATAAGCTCAACACTTTTTGTGTCATGTAGTTGAAGGCACCACAAAATTAGGCAGCGTGTGTTTACGTGGTATATGGTGAAAACAGCTGGTATAGGATGACACGACCGGAAATTGTCCTGTGAATTCCCCGCACATGTCACTGCGTTATGGGCGCCTGCACTTTCCAAGTCGCCTTACCGAGGAAAAAGAAATCAGCAGATGGTACAGCTGGTGTCTTTTGCGCGTACAGCGGCTTCATATTGGTTGTTTTTATGTGCGCATCAGTCGGCGGTCTTGACGACATAGATTTGTTTTCATATGCAACGAAGATAACTCAACCAACTGTTTGCGAGCTTCGAGTAACACAAGCACTCGTGCACGCAACAACTTTCTACTTTAAAAAAATATTTCTACTTTTCAATGCTGATTCAACACTTTCTTCTGCTTGTTTCAGGATATTGTAAAAAAGTGAAACATCAGATTATTGTAAAACATTTCGGTATTGTAAATTTGAAACAGACGCAGTAGTAAATATAACTGATAATAATGTATACTTTCTATGTCGTGAAACTTTTCTTGCATTAATGAATGTATACAGTACGAGTTTACCAA